CTGGAATGCACCTGGTGGTGATCCTGGAACATGTACTAATCCTGATCCTGGAATGCACCTGCTGGTGATCCTGGAACATGTACTAATCCTGATCCTGGAATGCACCTGCTGATGATCCTGGAACATGTACTAATCCTGATCCTAAAATGCACCTGCTGATGATCCTGGAACATGTACTAATCCTGATCCTGGAATGCACCTGGTGGTGATCCTGGAACATGTACTAATCCTGATCCTAAAATGCACCTGCTGATGATCCTGGAACATGTACCAATCCTGATCCTGGAATGCACCTGCTGGTGATCCTGGAACATGTAGTAATCCTGATCCTGGAATGCACCTGCTGGTAATCCTGTAACATGTACTAATCCTGATCCTGGAATGCACTGCTGATGATCCTGGAACATGTACTAATCCTGATCCTAAAATGCACCTGCTGATGATCCTGTAACATGTACTAATCCTGATCCTGGAATGCACCTGGTGGTGATCCTGGAACATGTACTAATCCTGATCCTGGAATGCACCTGCTGGTGATCCTGGAACATGTACTAATCCTGATCCTGGAATGCACCTGCTGGTGATCCTGGAACATGTACCAATCCTGACCCTGGAATGCACCTGCTGGTGATCCTGGAACATGTACTAATCCTGATCCTGGAATGCACCTGGTGGTGATCCTGGAACATGTACTAATCCTGATCCTGGAATGCACCTGCTGGTGATCCTGGAACATGTACCAATCCTGACCCTGGAATGCACCTGCTGGTGATCCTGGAACATGTACTAATCCTGATCCTGGAATGCACCTGGTGGTGATCCTGGAACATGTACCAATCCTGACCCTGGAATGCACCTGCTGGTGATCCTGGAACATGTACTAATCCTGATCCTGGAATGCACCTGGTGGTGATCCTGGAACATGTACCAATCCTGACCCTGGAATGCACCTGGTGGTGATCCTGGAACATGTAGTAAATCTGACCCTGGAATGCACTTGCAAAGTTCATAGTCTATTTACCTTTAGTAAATCACCCCCTTTGTCTTGTCCACTTGATACATTGTCTCAGCCAATCGATACATTTTCTTTTCCATTCAATACGTTGTTTCATCCAGTCAATAACATTGTCCCATCCAAATGATACATTGCCTTGTCCAATCGATTACAATGTTTCCTCCAATCGATACATTGTCTCATCTAGTTGATACATATTCTCAGCCAATTCGATACATTTTCTTGTCCAATCATTACATTGCCTTGTCCATTTGATAACATTCTCTCATCCAATGGATAACATTGTCTCAACCAATTGATGAATTGTCTCAGCCAATCGATACATTGCCTTGTCCAATCTATAACATTGTCTCATCCAGTTGATACATTGTCTTGTCCAATCGATAAATTAACCTGCCCAGTCGATACATTGTCACATCCAATCGTTACATGGTCTCATTCAATCAGTACATTTTCATGTCCAATTGATGTGTTTTCTTATCCAGTCATTACATTGTCTCATCTAGACAATGCATTGTCTTGTCACATCGATAACATTGTCTCATCCAATCGATACATTGTCTCATCTAATCAATATATTGTCTCATCCAATCGATACATCATCTCATCCAATCGATACATCATCTCATCCAATCGATACATCATCTCATCCAATCGATACATCGTCTCATCCAGTCAATTACATTGTCTCATCCAATCGATAACATTGTCTCTTCCAATCAATACATTGTCTCATCCAGTCGATTACATCGGCTCATCCAATCGATACATCGTCTCATCCAATCATTACATTGTCTCATCCAATCGATACATTGTCTCATCCAATCAATACATTGTCTCTTCATCAATACCATCCAGTCGATTACATCGGCTCATCCAATCGATACATCGTCTCATCCAATCGTTACATTGTCTCTTCCAATCATTACATTGTCTCGTCCAGTCAATAGCATCGTCTCATCCAATCGTTACATTGTCTCGACCAGTTGATACATTGTACGTCCCGGTCGTCTTTAATGCCGGAACTCCCAGCAGACACACGTACCGCATACACCACCATGAAGATCGATGTGTTTCCCCGGAGACGAAGAACAGAAGGCCGTGTGTGGCCAGAGAAACGTTCACTCAGCCTGGAAATGAAGGAAACTTTTAATCTTTTTGGCTTAGCCGGCGAAAAAATCCGTGAGAGCAGCTGACCTCTGCGAGCGGCGATGGCGGCGATGGCGGCGATCAGCACTAATCCTAATTAGGAGCCTCTTTTGACGGTCGGCTTTGCATCATCGTTTACAAGAGGCTTTGCAGAGCGCGGTTTATCACGCCCTACCTAATTAGTGCCGTCCGGAGCGCACATTGTTTGTTTCGGCGCGCCGGGGAAAGTTCCTGAACTCGCACGCCGACGTGAATTCAGCTTTTTTTCCCGCAAATTGATATTGATTTGTACACGAGGCGAAAATGTACAGACTCCCGAGCCGGAGCTCATTCCTGATTCACAGCTAATCACTAGAGAAGGAAAATGGCGCTGGGGGAGGGGATTGTAGGGAGCGAGGTGCAAATCCCATAATGTATGTGGGGGCACGCCTTAAAGGGCAACTCCGGTCACTCATTAATGTCAGTTCACTGAAGTCCACCCAGTTTTCTAATATGAGTCAGCTATATAGAGCAAACCTTCTAAACAAAGGGCCAGTTTACTGTCATTCAGACTTTAGGGGGCCGGACTCTCACTGGGAGTAGAAAAGGTCCTCATGTCAGTGGGAAAAAAAAACAATGCCCCATTATTGGTGTCAGTGGGGGGAATTGTGCCCCATTATTGGTGTCAGTGGGAGGAATTGTGCCCCATTATTGGAGTCAGTCAGAGGAATCATTGGTGTCAGTGGGAGGAATAATGCCCCATTATTGGTGTCAGTGGGAGGAATAGTGCCCCATCATTGGTGCCAGTGGGAGGAATTGTGCGCCATCATTGGTGTCAGTGAGAGGAATTGTGCCCCATTATTGGTGTCAGTGGGAGGAATTGTGCCCCATTATTGGAGTCAGTGGGAGGAATCATTGGTGTTAGTGGGAGGAATAATGCCCCATTATTGGTGTCAGTGGGAGGAATAGTGCCCCATCATTGGTATCAGTGGGAGGAATTGTGTGCCATCATTGGTGTCAGTGAGAGGAATTGTGCCCCATTATTGGTGTCAGTGGGAGGAATTGTGCCCCATTATTGAGTCAGTGGGAGGAATCATTGGTGTCAGTGGGAGGAATAATGCCCCATTATTGGTGTCAGTGGGAGGAATTAGTGGGAGGTGCCCCATCATTGGTGTCAGTGGGAGGAATTGTGCGCCTCATTGGTGTCAGTGGGAGGAATCATTGGTGTCAGTGGGAGGAATTGTGCCCCATCGTTGGCATCATTGGGAGGAATTGTGCCCTATAATTGGTGTCAGTGAGAGGAATTGTGCCCTATCGTTGGCATCAATGGGAGGAATAGTGTCCCATCATTGGCATCATTGGGAGGAATAGTGTCCCCATCGTTGGTGTCAGTGGGAGGAATTGTGCCCCATTATTGGTGTCAGTGGGGGAAATTGTGCCCCATTATTGGTGTCAGTGGGAGGAATTGTGCCCCATTATTGGAGTTGTCATTAGAGGAAGAATTGGTGTCAGTGGGAGGAATAATGCCCCATTATTGGTGTCAATGGGAGGAATAGTGCCCCATCATTGGTGTCAGTGGGAGGAATAGTGCCCCATTGTTGGTGCCAGTGGGAGGAATTGTGCGCCATCATTGGTGTCAGTGAGAGGAATTGTGCCCCATTATTGGTGTCAGTGGGAGGAGTTTGTGTCCCATCATTGGTGTCAGTGGGAGGAATTGTGCCCCATTGTTGGTGTCAGTGGGAGGAATTGTGCCCCATCACTGGTGTCAGTGGGAGGAATTGTGCCCCATTGTTGGTGTCAGTGGGAGGAATTGTGCCCCATTATTGGTGTCAGTAGGAGGAATTGTGCCCCATTGTTGGTGTCAGTGGGAGGAGTTGTGTCCCATCATTGGTGTCAGTGGGAGGAATTGTGCCCCATTGTTGGTGTCAGTGGGAGGAATTGTGCCCCATCATTGGTGTCAGTGGGAGGAATTGTGCCCCATTGTTGGTGTCAGTGGGAGGAATTGTGCCCCATTATTGGTGTCAGTAGGAGGAATTGTGCCCCATTATTGGTGTCAGTCAGTAGGAGGAATTGTGCCCCATTGTTGGTGTCAGTGGGAGGAATTGTGCCCCATTGTTTGGTGTCAGTGGGAGGAATTGTGCCCCATTGTTAGGACACAATACTTGTCTTCACATATTCTATATGCACTCCAGTGATGGCTGCATGGCATGACAGATGACAACGCTGGAGCTTAATTAGGAGACAAGGAAAAAGCGTGGTCACCCCGGTAGGAAGTGTCTGAACAAGGACCTTCATGGCAGGATCACCAGGGGTTATTGTAATGGAAGATCTAGATTTTAAACAGCCTGAAAATGACATTACCATGTTAACCTCTGGCTACTCAAGTAACGTATATGTGCGCCAGCAAAAGTTGTGGACTTTAATGCCCACTTGCTACGTATATGTGTCCATGTGTGGCACAGTTTTCTGTGCAGCTCTTGGTCTCTGCTAATGAATGGTAGCCAGCAGGATCAGCTCCCAATCATGTGATCACTGTGACAGCCAATCATAAAGGTCGCATGATCGGACAATCCTTCCGGCCCCCTGTCATAAAGACCCTATCTAGAGGGGGTGACTGGGGACAAAGAGAAGAACAATGTATGAAATCCTTTCTTCAGTTCTGTGTATACAAAGCATGGGGGGAGCTCTTGTCCATAATGGGGGGTGGTACTGACACAGCTCCAGATGATCCACATTGGCTCACAACTGATATGATCCAGAAATATTTAGACAGAATAAAGGTGAATAAAGCCCCTGGACCGGATGGCATACACCCACGGGGCCTTAAAGAACGGAGAGTCAACAGACAGATGGAGTCATGAAGACAGAAATTGTCAATACAAATATGATTGCATAGATGTTACATGAGGAGTGAGCGTGAGCAAAACCTTAACAGAGGGGTGAGGTGGATGTGGTATACTTGGACAGAGGGTGGAGTGACGTGGTATATTTGGACAGAGGGGGGGGGTGGATGTGGAATACTGGACAGCAGGGGGTGGCTGAACGTGGTATACTTGGACAGAGGGGTCGGGTCGTTGGACGAGGTATTTTTGGACAGAGTGGTGCGGTGGACGTGGTATCTTGACCGCATCAGAGGGTATGCAGTGGACGTGGTATGCTTGGACAGAGGGAGTGGGCTGTGTGACGAGGTATACTTGAGACAGAGGGGTGCTGTGGACGTGGTATACTTGGGACAAGAGGGGAGCTGTGGACGTGGTATACTTGGACAAGGTTGCTGTGGACTGTATACTTGGACAGGGTGGCTGTGGACGTGGGTACACTTGGACAGAGGGGTGGCTTGTGGACGTGTACTCTTGGACAGAGGATGCTGTGGAGTGGTATACTTGGACAGAGGGGTGGCGGTGGAACGTGGTATACTTGGAAAGAGGGGTGCGGTGGACCTGGTATACTGGACAAGAGGGGTGCGTGGATGTGTATACTTTGACAGAGGGGGTGTGGCGGTGTGGAGTGGTATACTTGACAGAGGTCTCCTGGTCGCTTGTACCGAGATAACACTCACCACACCACCCGATGTTAAACTTGTATACCTTGACAGAGGTGGGTGGCGGTGGATGTGGTATACTTTGGGCAGAGTGGTGGCGGAGACGTGGGTATACTTGATAGAGGGGTGGCGGGTGGAATGTATATAACTTGGACAGAGGGGTGGCGCGGTGGACGTGGTTTACTTGACAGAGTGGCGGTGGACTGGTTTACTTGGGTCAGAGGTGGTGGGTGGACGTGGTATACTTGGACAGAGGGGTGCGGTGGATTGTGGTATAACTTGGACAGAGGGTGGTTGTGGGACGTGAATACTTGGATTTTGCAAAAGTGTTTGACCCAGTTCCCCACACAGGTATTGTGTAAGGTAAAGTTCTACAAGGCTTGGAAAAATCTGTATGTAAATGGTTAGAAAACTGCTTTAAAATGGTATCAGAAAGTAGTGGTTTAATCATTATTACTCTGAATGTCTTGGGTGGTCAGTGTTTACCCCAAAGGCTCAGTTGATGACCAGGTCCGGGAAAAATTGTCATAGTCATGAATAGGCAATTTCCTGGTGGGTCAAGGTCGCCGTGCCAACATGTACTTAATGTGGGCAGCCACAAAAAACGCAAAGCAGATACATGAGCTAACTGCCCTTCACACTCAAACCCGCACGCGCTCCTTGGTTTCTCTGCGATCGCTCAGTCTGTTTCCTCCTGTGTGTGGTCGTTCAGAGCATGGGAAGGCGCTTGGGCTGTCTCCTTGCTAGACTGGCGTCTCATTTGATGGATAGGGATGTCTCTTTATTGGACTGGCTGTCTCTTGCTGGTTAGGATGTCTCTTTCTTTGATACTGGCTGTCTCCTTGCTGGCTTGGGCTGTCTGATTGCTGACTGGGCTGCTCTTTGCTGAACTGGAATAGTGTCTTCGCTGTATAGGATATCTCTTTGCTAGATTGGGCTGTCCTTCCTATCCTTGTGGCTGTCTCTTGCCTGGAATTGGGATTTCTCTTTTGATCGACTGGATGTCTCTTTGCTGACTGCCCTGTCTCTTGGCTGATAGGGGATGTTTCTTGCTGGATTGGGATGTCTCTTTGCTGGATTGGATGTCTCCTTGCTGATGTGGGATGTCTCCTTGCCGGATGGGGATGTCCCTTTGCTTGAATTAGACTGTCTCTTGCTGGACCTGGAATGTCTCTTTGCTAGATGGATGTCGCTTTTGCTGGGGATGGCTGTTCTCCTTGCTGGACTGGGAATGTCTCTTTCTGGATAGGATGTTCTCTTTGCTGGACTGGGCTATCTCTTTGCTGGATTAGGATGTCTCTTTGCTTGATCTGGTGCTTATCTCCTTGCTGGACTGGGCTTATCTTTTTGCTGGATTTGGCTGTCCTCTTTATGGACTGGCTGTCTTCTTTGCTGTAATTGGACTGTTTCTTTGCAGGACTGTGCTGTGGTCTGTGCTAGATTGATGGGATGTCCTCTCGTTGTTAGACTGGCTGTCCTCCATGCTGGACTGGAATGTCTCTTTGCTGGATAGGGATGTCCTCATTGCTGGATTGAGCTGTGTCTTTTGCTGGGATTGAGCTGTCTCTTGATAGGGATGTATCCTTGCTGGATGGGATGACTCTTTGCTGGACTGGCTGTCACTTTGCTGATTAGCATGTCTCTCTTTGCTGGAATAGGGGATGTTCTCTTGCTGGATGGGGTGTTTTCTTTTCCTTGATTGGATGTCTCTTTGCTTGACTGGGCTGTTTCTTGCTGGATTGGGCTGTCTCTTTGCTGAATTGGCTGTCTCATTGCGGGACTGGGCTGTCTATGTGCTAGACTGGGATTCTCATTGCTGGATTGAGCTTGTCCTCTTTTTGCTGGACTGGCTGTCTCTTCTGTGGATGTGTGCTCCTTGCTGGCTATTGGGTTTTCTCTTTACGGATTGGCTGTCTGGTTTGCTTGACTGGGCTGTCTCTTTGCTGGACTGGAATGTCTCTTTGCTGGATTGGGTTGTGACTCTTGCTGGATGGCTTGCCTCTTGCTGACTGGGGCTGTTTCTTTGCTGGACTGGCATCTCTTTGCTGCATGTGGCTGTCTCTTTGCTGGACTGGGCTGTCGCGTCCCCTGGACTGGAATAGTCTCTTTCCTGGATGGGGCTGATCGCTTTGCTGATTGGACTGTCTTTTTGCGGGACTACGTGTCCCTTTTGTGAAGCACTTTAGGGACAATATGATTTATAATTGTAGAGGGTCCAGGCGCTGTCATGTTTACAGTGGGGAAAATAATATATCTTGATCCCCTGCAGGATTTTGTAAGTTTTCCCACTACAAAGAAATGACAGGGCCTATAATTTTTTATCATTGTGTATTTTTAAATGATAGAGACAGAAAAATCTAACCAAAAATCCAGAAAAACACAATACAAATGTTATAAATTGAGTTGCAGTCAGTGAGTAAAATAAGTATTTGATCCCCCTACCAACAAACAACAATGATTCTGGCTCCCCCCCCCCCCCACAGACTAGCTCTGTGCTCATGTGTACACAGATTAGTCCTGCCAATGTAAGAAGTGCTCCTAACGACAACTTTCTATGTGTATAAAAGACACCTGTCTACAGAATCCTCTTTCCCATTAAAAACTTTGCCATCATGGCAAGACCAAAGAGCTGTCAAAGACGTCAGGGACAACATTGTAGACCTGCACAAGGCTGGAATGGCTTACAAGACATTTCAGCCAAGAAGCCTTGGTGAGAAGAAAGGACCACTGTTGAAGTGATATATTCACAAATTGTAAGAAATACAATATAACCATCAGTCGCCTCAGTTCTGGGAAGCTCCTATGCACAGGTTTCACCTCAAGGGGTAAGGATGATCATGAAGGTGAAGTGATGATCAGCCCAGAACTACACGGGAGGGAATTTTTGAATGATCTCAACAATGTTGGGAGCACAGTCACCAAAGAAACAATTGGTAACATAATACACCGCCATGGAATGAAATCTTGCAGCACTTGCAAAGGTCCCCTCTGCACAAGATGGAAACATATGCTCAAGATGGAAACATATACAGGGCTGTCTGAAGTTTGCCAATCTAAATGATTCAGAGAAGGATTGGGAGAAAGTGCTGATGTCAGATGAGACCAAAATTTCTGAGCTCCTTGGCAAAAAACTCAACTCTCCATGTTTTGGAGGGAGAAAAAAATGCTGACTATTGACCCCAAGAACACCATCTCTACAGTTCAAGCACGAGGTGGAAACATTATTGCTTTGGGGCGGTTTCTCTGCTAAAGATCGGCTACAGGCCGACTTGCCTCATTGAGGCCAATGGATGGGGCCATTGTTATTGTAAAATTTTGGATGAGAACCTTCTTACCTCAAGGTAACAAAGGAGTGGCTCAAGAAGAAGCATATTAAGGTCATGGAGTGGCCTAACCAGTCTCCAGCCCTTAATCCTATAAAAAATCTATGGAGGGAGCTGAAACTTCAAGTAGCCAAGCGACAGCCAAGAAACCTGAAGGATTTAGAGAAGATCACCATAAAGAAGAGTTAACCAAAATCCCTCCTGAGATGTGTCAAACGCTGGTAACCAACTACAAGAAACGTCTGACCCCTGAGCCTGCCAACAAGGGTTTTCCCCACCAAGTACTAAGTCATGTTTTACTTGAGGATCAAATACTTATTTTACTCACTGAACTGCAACTCAATTTATAACATTTGTATCGTTTTGTTCAGAATTTTTGGTTGATATTCTGTCCCTATCTTTTAAAATACACCTATGATAACATTTACAGACCCTTCATTTCTTTGTAAGTGGGCAAACTTACAAAATCTGCAGGGGATCAAATAATTATTTTCCCCAATGTAGGTAAATGTAATGCTTTTGGAGTCACTGACCCAGAACAAGTAGGCAGACCTTTAGTTCAGCCATCACTGGCTGCATGCTTGCTCCAGGTCAGTGAGTCCTCATCTTCTCAGGCTCCATGGTCTCTGCTGAGCGTCTTCTCTGATCGATGGCCCCCCTTGGAGTGTCAGAGTAAATTATACCTAATACACTTTTCTTCTTTTACAATATAAATATTTCTCCAGCTCTGCCGCCGCCATCTGGGTAATTCTCTTTACAGTCTGTTAATACGCAGCGCATGTTCGGGCGCATGTGGTGTGAATATCTAATGGACGTGTCCCGGCTTGCGAATGGTAAAAATTCTTTATTTTCGACTTTTGTGAGGAACCAGCTGAGCTCAATCTCCGAGGGGTCAGAGACTTATTACCGGCAGGAGAGAAAAGGAGGACGGTGAAGAAATTCTGCCAGATTGTCTGGCGCACCATGGCGTCGATATACGGAGATGGTTTAAAGAGGAACTCTGGATCTCAGCGCACTGTTCTCAGGGTATGCAAACATGTCAGAACTATTGTAAATACTGTATGGTCCTGGTACTCTACAGTCTATTGGCACTTACTCCGTGGCCCTTGGGGCCCCTGCAGGCAGTAGTCTGTTTTACAAGTCTCATATAATGTGTTTCCACTCTTTAAAGTAGAAATAAAGGCATTATTTTATATAGAGTAAAGAAGGGTTATAACCCCTGTCAGTTATTTTTCCACGTTTCCCATTGGGGAGATTTCCCTTCACTTCCTGTCTCATAGTCAAAACAGGAAGTCGGAAGATATCCCTGGTCGTCATCAGGGTTACCAGAACTAGTGTTCCCATTGCAAGAGACCTGCCTGTGTCTACAATTCATTCTTCTCCTTCAATCTCTTCCTTTGTAGCCACCCATTCAGAGTGCAGAGAATGTAAGAGATGACGAGTGATGAGCCTGGGAGAAAGAACATGTCTCTGTAATCCCTTTAGTGTTCCCATTGCAAGAGACCTGCTTGTGTCTACAATTCATTCTTCTCCTTTAAACTCTTCCTTTGTAGCCACCCATTCAGAGTGCGCAGAGTGTAAGAGATGATGAGTGATGAGCCTGATGGGAGAAAGAACATGTCTCTGTAATCCCTTTAGATGAGCATTTTCCTCCCTGTTGGCCACAGACTCTAGCAGTAGAACTGAACGTAACTGTAAACTTTTTTTTTTAAACGATTGTTTACATGGTTGAACATGTTATAGTTACATTCTCTATGCAGAGACAGGAAAGTGGCACCCTTTGCCATTAGGATGGTCATTACTGGGCACATTTGCCACCAGGAAATCAATTTGCATTGCTTCCTGCAGTCTTGGATCAACCACTGATGAAACTCCCCAATGTCACCTACTCTTCCCAGTGGCATTATATGACCTAAAGCTGTACAGGGTGTGTCCAGAAAGCAACAGGAATGATATTTTAAA